GGGAAGAAGGGGGGAGTAGGAGGGCGAAGGGGGAAAGCTGAAAAGACATGTTGGTGGAAGGGCAATTTGCATGAAAAATAGAGACGGATGATTAGGGACCCAGGCAGGGAATTTTGATTGCCCCAGAATTAAAAGATGGATCCTGCATATCGGAGGCAAGACCAGGTGAATTGTATTCCGGTGTTTTCTTTGTAATCCCGGTATTTTATATTTTGTTTTAAAAGTAGCAGTCATGATAAAAGGCATATTTTTTGTCGGCTCTGCCTCCACCAGGAGCCAAATGTTTTGCAGCGAACACGGTGCCAGCCGTATTTCATACATTAGTATATAATTCTTGTTAATTAGCAATAATTTACGTTAAGAGCATAGAAAATGTTGAGGTTACAGATTTTATATCTGTACATTTGATCATCTTGTTATTTTCAAGAACTTTGCCTCCTATAAAATTAATTAGGTGAAATGTGGAGGTGTAATCAGCAACCTCTGAATTACCACTTCATTTCCTGGTTTTGATTGTAAATCAGCCCAGTCCGTACAGACTTTCAGCAAAGTCTATTTTTGCTCAGCGCTACTTTTAACTGTCTGGTGTTGAAGCAGCGGGTTACCTTCCCCTGCTAAATAATAGTGACAGCGTCAGAAAGGAATCAGGCCGCGGGAAAACATTATAATTGAGTAATGATTATGCAGAGCTCCTCGCTAAGCCAGTTCTGAGGGGAATACGGGTGGTTTTGTGTCTTCTGCTGCGGAGGGTCGCTGAGCTCGAACTTAGATTCGCAAAATACCTTTGTCTGCGGCGTGCAGCGAGCTACTGGTGGAATTAGTCCTGCAACAATTTACTCCCTCTCGGTCCGAACGCAAGGAGCGGCTGGGGAGGAAAAACAGCCATGCCCCGGCAATCCCGCAGAAACACCCTGCTCCTCTCCCGGCTTCCCGAGGAGCGTGAGACGCACGCACGTTGTTGCCTCTTGCTCTTGTCGGTCTGTAAGTTTAGGAGAAAACCCCAGCGATTAAGACATTGTTTTTATTAATGCGAATGTAACCTTCATATTCCTGTGGTTGACCTTACGTTAAATTAGAAGTAGTACTAGAGGCAAGAAATGATGGACTGGATCCCTGTGTCCTAGTTGGAGCTGAGGTACGGCGAGGTAGTGTGCTCTTTCAATATTATTTTACGCAGCACAACTGGGAGCTACTCCAGATCTTCCTCCTCAATATTCAGCCTAGGTAGGGTTGAAATAAATTTAACCTGAGTTCACTGGATTTTTGCACTTTATCAAAATCAGTTCCAATATTGTGCAGTCAAATTAAAATCTATTTTTTGATTCTCTGTGGCTTTAAGTTCATTAAATGTGAAATTGGCAGCCAGCTAAAGAAGGTCAGGCTGATTAACTGTTTAGGAGTTGTATTCTGTCTCTCTTGCATTACCTGGCAGTGTTTTGAGGTGGGCTGTATTTGTAGTACCCTCTCCCCCTGCTCACTGCTGTTAGCGTGCGTGTTGTATTGCGCAGACAGAGGAACACCAACACGCTGCTGGTATTTATTTTTTTTTACCTCGTGAAAGGCAATAGTGGTGGAGACTGCACAGAGATTGCCAAGGTATTTCTCTGCAAATTTAACCTAAAAAAAAAAAAATAGCCAACAGAAAAGAGAGCCGAATCTGCCTCGTTAGAGCATCCACTGACGATTCTGTGAGCAGAAATAGCCTCATAATGAAGCTTTTTGGAGCTCATTCAGAAAATTTGTCAACTTTGACAACATTAGGCAAGGTATTTTGAGTTTAAAGAAGGCACTTCTCACTGTTGCGAGGAAATGTGGCAGTTGCTTGGCCAGGCTGATTTTTAGATGCTGAGGGCCACCAGTGCTAACACGCTCAAGATAATTTAGGCATTCCCTTATTTCAGGATTAAAAAGCACAAAATGACTGATTGCCTTGTTTCCTTAAGTACTAGAAAATATCCCATCCATTTAATGTCTCTGGGTTGGACTCGGTGGTGAATTTGCTATTTATTTGAATCCTGAGGAGTAGCTGAAAAGTGAGAGGTGCCTCCCCCCCAGCCCTGCAGGCATTTCTGCTGCACTTGCTTTTTATCATTTTGGTTTCTGCCATGTATTTATCTACCTATTTATTTATTTATTTGCCTCATCCCCTCCCTCCCCCACGAATAACTACTGCCTTTAGATTTATTTTTTTTTCAATTGGAAGCCGCAAACAGGCCGACAGGGACAGTGACACAAATCCATACGTACGTGTGTGCACGTGTGTTCTGAGAGCTGTGTGTGCCCTGGGTGTCGGTGCCCGGGTGTGTGTGGCCATGCGGGCTGGCTCTCCCTCTCTTTTCTTTTCCACACATACACACTCTTCCTGCACGGCCTGGACAGGGAATATGCAATATCTGTATATATTCAAACACCTTTTGTCTGCGCTGTATTTCAGGCTTCTGAATTTCAGAAAGTGTGTCTGGCTCGTGGAAGATACACACCCATGTGGTGTGAGAGAGAGTGTGTGTGTGTGTGTGTGTGTGTGTGTGCAGTGCTTTTAGCCTTGGATTCATATACATAAATAATGCATCCAGCAATAAAACACCGTATTCGTAGTAGCACGAGAGTTTCGCAGTTATTCCAGCCTGTTCGTTCAATTTTAGCACCGAATGGTTCGGCGAGTCAGAAATTTGCCCTCGTGTAGGAACACGGGGACAGTTGTGGTGCTCGCTCTCCCGAGTTCTGCATGCTACAGCTGCTTCTGCCAAACCCCTTCCCCATAACTGATGAATCCATCCCCTCGCTGCCGTGCTGACAGCCGTGTTGCATGGCTTTAGCTGGGGGGGGGAGCAGGCGGACGTGGAGAGCGGGGTGTAATATTCATGAAGAGGGGGCTCGGCGCGTTCCTCCCCCCCCTCCCCGCGTGCCCGGTGCCTTTCCCGAGAGCTCTAATGATTCTCCTTTTGTTTCTCAAACTGCAGCCGAACCTCTTGAAGCCATTCTCACTGATGACGAACCTGAACATGGCACATTGGGAGCTCCGGAAGGGGACCACGACCTCCTCACTTGTGGCCAGTGTCAGATGAACTTTCCGTTGGGGGACATTCTTATTTTTATTGAGCACAAACGGAAACAATGCAATGGCAGTCTCTGCCTAGAGAAGGCTGTGGATAAGCCACCTTCACCCTCACCAAGTGAGCTGAAAAAAGCATCCAATCCTGTGGAGGTTGGCATCCAGGTTACGCCAGAGGATGACGATTGTTTATCAACGTCATCTAGAGGAATTTGCCCTAAACAGGAACATATAGCAGGTAAATTAAAGCAAGGAGAAGTGTTTGCGAGTTTTATTTCCGTTTCAGTTGCAAACGTAGCGTGTTGGCAGTTGTGAACTGCTGTGTCTGTCTGTGTTCTGCTCGCCGTGACGGGCCCGTGGTGTGTTCAGTACCCTCCCTGCCTTGGGTTGGTGGTGAGTGGTATTTCCTAGTGCCTGCGCAGCGGCAGGAGCAACAGGCACGTGCCGTGCCAGCCGGTGTTTCCAGCGGTATTGTTTGAGGCCGCTCTCGTGATTTGCCTGTATTGTAGCCACCGTCTCCCGGTGTCTCTCCTGCCGTAGCGCTGCGGGAGGAGGTTTCAGAGCCCTCCGCGCGACAGAGCGAGGAGCTTTCAAGTCTTTGGCAAAGTCAGGGGTGAAAGAGTTAACCGAGCATCAGCCAGCCTTGGTTCCATATTGGCTGTCAGCGTATGGACTGTAATTAAACACAGCCCCATGGCAAAGTGACACCACCGACCTTGACTTTAAGATGCCATTTTCGACTGGCCAGGCCAGAGTAGAGAGGGCAGTTGCTGAAGCGCACAGACATGCTTATTCGGAAAGTTTAAGGGCATGTTGGAAATTTCAAAAGGTTGGTTTGACAGGAAAGGCTGCTCTCTGCAGCCTGCCTCCTCAGCCAAATGATAAATGCTTCGCTGTGCTCTCTCTTGTCTCTGATGTGGTTTTGACAGATGTATCTTGATTTTGTTTGCGGTTTACACAACCACATGTCAGCCGTACAAATGTCCAAGGCAGAGTTCTGTTTTGTGCAACAAACAATATGAAATGTGATTTTTAAAAAAATAGGGTGAATAATACCATTTCATGGTGCTTCTTTTTTTTTTTTTTTTTAAAAGGAGGGTCATTTGCTGTGCAGATATTTTCACAAATGAGGTCAAAAAAATAGAGTGTACCATGTGAAAGAAAATCCCAGAGCCCTGGGAGTGTAACAAGGCACGCTCTGCTTTTAAAACCCTGCTAGTAAACAAAAGTACTACCCATTTGCAGCGAGCGTTGCAAATCACTTCAAACCGCGCCAATACTGCTGGTTGAAAAAGGCGAGACCGCAGTGTATCAACACCAACAAATGCCTGAACCAGTTTCAAACTCCCCTCCAGCGGTGTTTGGGATGTGGCACTGCCGGTACCTCTCTTCTGGGAGCCCACAGGACCGCTCGGGGTTGTCGGAGGCGCAGTACATCATCACATGATGTGCTGGAGCTTGTCTTGGGCTTGCTTTGGCCACAGAGTTAAACCATAATAGGGCAGTAGGCGCAGGGAGGTTCAGTGGGATGCTCCCGCAGCCTCCCTGGCTTATCCAAACCGGCCGTCAAATTGTGCTGGAGAGCTGGAGTTTTAGAGGTTTTGTGGTGGCAGCAGATAAGCGTTGGGGGTGTGTGTGTCTGTCTGCGCACGTGTCTGTGTGCAAAGCCGTGTGCGTGCACACGCGTGCGGCGTGTGGGCGAGTCCGTACTGTTTCTGCAGAGTAATGGGTATTTCTTTGCAACGTGAATATCTGTACGTTTAAGAGGAAACAGAGGCTCAGCTACTGCTAAGCTACATTTTGAGTGAGACTTAAAAACCCCAACAGTTCCCCATATTGCGCTTCCCAGACATGGATGTTGAAGGTGGTTTTTTTTCCCAGAGTGGTAGAGGGCAGTGCCCATTTCCATGTGCTGCCTGTGATCTGATGGGAAACGAGCAGAAGCGTAGGGCATGATTAATGAAGCAAGAGCCTGGCGGAAGGGATTTGTAGTCTTCCGAGCTCTGGAGCCATCCTGAATCACCAAATATGGAGGAGCGGCGGTGTGATGTAACGCTGTATTTACGTACGGCGCCGCTCTGCTGAAAAGACAAAACACAGCGTCTGTCAAGCAAGAATTAAAACATACTGTCCTCCCTGTGGTCCCAAACAGGTCCTTGGGCTGGAGGGATGGACACACCGGGGAGTTCTGCGTGAGGGGGACTTCCTCCACTGGGGGTTTTGCGCTGGTGTTTGGTTGGCGCGGGAGACTCAGCGAGCCAAGTCTCGTTTTGCGTGGCGTGGGTGACGCGAAGCGAGAAGGATTGGGGCTCATGTGCTGTCAGGGGGCTGTTAATTCCGAAAGGGCCGTGGTTTTAACTGACTGTGAATGGTTTGGTGAGCAGAGGCAGTGGGTGAGGAGCACTGGCATTGGCAGGGGCCTGATCCTGCTCGCTCTTACTTGTTGGGATCACCTTTGCTCTGCGGGCGGGCCCAGCTGGGAGCAGCCTCGGTGCTGCGCAGGAGGGTCTGTGGTGATGGGCAGAGACCAAATTGCAGTTGTCAGGGCTCTCCTGCCCCAGGTTTTTTGTGTGGTGGTGCCCAGCTGTGCTGGTGGACAGGAGGTCCAAGAGTGCAGGTCCTCTGCACCTTCTTGGCTGGGCCAGAACCAAGGGACACTTGGTTGTTCCTGTTGGTTGGAAATGCAGCCTGGCTATGGGAAGGGGAGAAGGTGCATCAGGAGTTATGGGGTCTTGCACTATCCCTACCCTTTGTGTTTTCATCTCCCCTTTCACCTGGATGAGTTCAGATCCCTTGTGTCGTGAAGAAGTGTGATGATAGCTGGAGTGACCCGTTGCTTGTAGCCAGTAGTTTGTGGGGTCTGGCAGTAAAATTACCAATGAGGGTCTTTGAGCCTGAGCTGTGGAGTTCAGGCTTCTGGAAGGCCCCTGCACTGAACCTCAGGCTCTTCCAATTCTCCTATTTTATATCTGATTTCTGTGCAAGAATGCAAAAAGCTAAAGATATGAGTGTGTAATTAAAAAGTACAAAAAAGACACAGGCTACCTATAGAAAAACACACAGAAATTGGGGGAAGTGATTCTTTCTGGTAAGAAACCAGAAGGTATGTATTTTGTAGCACTGTAAAAATGTTCCCGATTAGTTGTGAGGCTGAAAGACGAGTTCCAGGTTAGCCCTGGATACAGAGGTGGGTGAGCTCTGGGTGTGGTATGTGCTCTGCCGACAGTTTTGTAGTAGGTAACTTGGGGTGTTACAGTAAAATATCATCTTAAGATAAGTAATGGTTAAGGATCTACAGGCGAGGAAGGAAGGCAGCGAATCATCCAAATGCAGGGAGAAATGATGTCTGTTTTAAGCGTCGCTAGGCTGCTCTTTATCCTCGCCGTTTTCCAGAGGCAGGGATGAGTACAGGAGCTTGTTATGTGTGTGTGCAACCTGTGCAGGAGCCGTGAGATCCGTATGGGTGCAGGCATGTGTAGGTACCTGGCTCTTCCATGTGGGTGTCTGCCTGCCCGTAGCTCTGCCTTGCTGTAAAAATGTTGAGTGATGCTGATCCAGCGCTGGAGCTGAAATGCCATAAATTTAACTGAAAATTAATAGGATATGTTGTGTGGGTCCAACGAGGCAGCTTTCATCAATATGTATGTCAAAGCCTCACCACCAGATACCGGCAGCCCGTGATTTGCAGTGAGGGCGACGGCGGGGCTTTAGTTATCCGCTCTCGTGTTTTACAATAGGGGGAAATATTAACTGAAGTATCTGGAGATCAGTGAATGTAAAATTGCTGTTCACTTATTGAAAAGGCTGGAGAAATATTTATCGTCCGCCCGTGTCAGGTTTTTAGCGGTTTGTTTGTTGAATGTATAAATCCGAGGGAATTAATGAAAGGTTGGGGTTTGGGTGAAGAAGGAGCTTAAATGTTACTTGGATGCAGTTGGAGGAACACTTTGGAGTGCTGCTGCGTATTCCCCTGTATAATGCCGAGTGTGTATCCGTGGATGCTGTATTTACTGTACAAAGAGGGGAGGAGGAGGAGGGGAGGTCATTTTTTTCTGCTCGAATCCTATATTCTCAAGCTGCTCGTGGCATTCAAATAAAACACGTGGGGAAAATCATGTAAGAAAACCCTCTGTCTGCAGCAACCGGGGGAAGGTGGATATTATTTGGTACTAAATTTCAGACCGAGTGTATTTGATTATTACAGTTCTCAGGAGATAATGTCTTTGAGCAGAAATTTTCTTGGGCTGTTATTAGTAGTTGCCATTATAATTCTGTAGGTTTTAAATGGTGATTCCTTATTTTGTTTTGTTCTGGAGACAAAAAAAATATTGCTGTCTGCGTTGAATAGTTATCATTGCATTTGGACAATGAGATGAAAGCTTAAAGACAGAGAGGGGGAAAGAATGGGGAATATGGGCATATTTTAGAGTCAGATTCTCTCTGCTTTCCCCATACAAAGAAACAGAGGGCACAGGCTGGGTAAAATATGGCAAGCAGGAAAAATAGTGAGGGTGCTGCCCAAAGGCTCCCGCTCCCGAGATTTGGAGCGCTGCGTACAAGCTGTATTTGTAAATAAGACAGAGAAAGGTTGTGAACCGGCAGCTTGGCTGTTTTGTCAAAGTACAATGTCAGAGAAACTCTTTCTAAGACAAATTGTAAATAGAAGTGTCATGATGATTGCATGATTGAGCTCTAGAAGTGTCTTGCAATTGTTGGCATTGTCAGAAGACTTTTGAAAGCTTAATTAAAGGCGGTGGCCTGTGCGGCTGTGAAATTTACTTCTCGGGGGGGAAAAATGTAAAAAACGTAGGGGATCAAAAAGTTGCTCTAATGCTGCTCGCGTGGGGATGCAGAGAAGAGTCAATAGTTTCCCTGCTTTCCCCATTCCCTTTTATAAATAGCGTTTTTTGAAGAAGCAAACACGTGACACCAATATCATCCTTTGTACGAGGTAAAGATTGTGTTAGTTTTCCTATTCCCTGCTGTTCCAGACAGTTAATGTAAAAATGGCTCTTTATTGGAAACACAAATATGAGTTCACTCGCAGCACAGAAGCAGGGTAGAAAGTTTCCCTCTGCCTTGGCGAGAGCCTTGCAGGGGAGCATCAGAGTGTTGTGGTGCCCTGAATATTTCTGGTTTGGTTTTGGTGTTTTTGGTTTTGTTTTGTTTTTTATTATTTCTGTTTCTTGTAAATCAGATGTTCTGGTTTAGAGGATGAGAAATACATTTTGCGTGTGT